GGGAGACTGAGTGTAAAGTGAGGGGTGATGACACCAGGCAGAGGGGCACAGGAGCTGGAAACCAAGGAGACATAACCAGGCTGAAACGTATCAGAAATCGGGCATCGTGACCCTGCACCCAAGGGACCGGCGTGAGGGCTCTGTCCCACCGCATGAGGAAGGGTTGGCCAAGCCTGGGAGGGCGGGGGTGTCGGGCACGCGGGCTGCACTCGCGATTGCACTGCTAATAATGACGGTGTAAGACACCAGCGGGAGCGGGTTCCAGACACAGCACGGAGAAGCAGCAGTTGACTGGGCCAAGAAGCGGAAGGGAAACAGTGCAAGGGAATGGACTCCTGTGTGAGGAGGCTGGGGGTCATTCACTCATTCACTCATTTGCCAAGCACTCACTCTGCCCCAGGTGCCCAGCCAGGGGTTGGGTATAAAAGGGAACAAGGAAAACTCTGTGAGCTTCAAAGAGCTCACAGCTAGAAAAACATATACACCGTATCTCAGCCATTGCACTTGGTAGGGTGGGGATAGACCAGGGTTGTACGGAGACACGGAAGGGGACCTGAACCTGACTTGACAGGCAACGTGAGGACGCCAGGAGGCTCCCTGGAGTTGGTGCCACCAAACCTAGGCACAATTCCTCAGACAGGAGCCAGACATCAGGGGAGCGGGGGAGGGAGGCTTGCAGTGGGGTTTGCTGGACACAGGGCGGGAGCAGAGAGGTTTGCGCTCAGGACCGACTTTCTCCTGTGCTGTGGGAAGTTGATCTGAGCATGAGACAGGGTTGGAAGGGCTACAGTGGCAGGCAGCCGGAGCCACATGCCACTCGTGCCCAGCAGTGCTGAGGACACTGCTTGTGCACCTGCTCATAGGGCTGGACAGAATACAGTGGAGCAGAGCAGGTGCTGAGGCGGGCAGAGGGCACTGCAGGATGAGGGCAGGGAGCGGAGGATGCTGCCCAGAGAGAGTATGGTGTGATGCCCCCAAGATAAAGGAGCAGCATCCGAGGAGAAAAGAAGTCACTGGCTCGTGGATGGGACAAGGTACTGGACGCTCACAATGTAAGGGAAGGAAGGTTTACTTCAGCTCGAGGTTTGAGCCCAAGTCCGACTGGCTCCAAAGCAAAAACCATGCGGTAGAACCGCCTGGCAGAAGGCAGCTGCTTGCATCACGGAGGTCAGAGAGAGCAGGGAGGAGGATGCCCCCTTCCAGGTCACACCCCGGAGACAGCCTCAGCCGGGCCCCATGTCTCAGCAGCAAGTCAGCCATGACACTCACTAGCCAGTCACCTTGGCGCAGGAGAGCTTGGGGGAAGTTTTTGATCTAAAACATAGCAAGAAGTAAAACCAAGCGGGGCTGGTTGACAACGTAAGGATGTGTAGAAATCACAGTGCAGTCCAGTGCAGTAGCAGATCCAAGACAGCAAGAAGCCTGGATGGACAGAAGCCGAGCTCCAAGGGACAGATATGGTCAACAGTGGCTCTGGGGTGAGGAAGAAAACCCACCAGGTCACACAGGGAAAGTGGGGAGGGGGCCACACACGTGCAGTGGGTGGCAGAGCTGGTGCACTCAGAGGAGTGCCCAGTGCGGGCAGGAGTGGGGTGCGGGAAGGGAGACCCCGTCCCAGCTCCCATCCCGGAAGTGGGTGGACGGCGATGGGGCCGGAGCGGGGTGTGGCCGCTCGCTGACCAGTGATCCCTTCTGGATGTGGAGCACACATAGTCCTTAGAGACCTGCACCCTGACTCTTCACTGAAAAGCCGCAGTCTGCGAATACAGAGCATGACCCATTTTCCTCCGTCTCCCCGTTGTGTGCTCATGCTCACCCCGGGCCGGGCCTCTGCAGCTGAGCGCGAATGGACCACCTGACTGAGCGCCTAGACCTGCAGCAAAACACAGCTGCTCGGTGACTTTGGACCCCCCAGACCTGCTGGTTTTCCTCCACCCTCAGCAGCGGGACCCGTGTGGGTGACGAGGAAATGCTGTGGCAACAGCAGAGGGCGGGGCCCCAAGCCAGCCAAGGGGGCGGCCCGCCTGACATCCCTCCCTGCCTGGCGCCCCAGAGGGACCCTGAGACAAGGGCCTCCCGAAAGCCAGGCGGGCACAGGGCCTTCGGGAAGAGCCGTTTCCAGCCTTGCTCTTCAGTGAACCCCCAATGGAAGCACGTGCGGGCCTTGATTTGATTCAGAGCAGCTGCTGGTGACCAAAGCTCAGGAGACATCACCCCAAGCTCCCAATGAGCATCCGACTGCAAGTGGGGGGCAGCAGCTACACGAAAGGAGGAGAGGGCTGTCCTGGCAGATGCCCCAAAAAGCTGGGCCCCAAGGAAGACTTCCCTGCTCAGGGTCCTTAATGTGGGCCTCCCTGGCTCCCTGCCTCCCTGCCTCAGGGCCTGAGAAACAAAGTCCCTGAGAAGCCAGTGGCCGGCTGGGGCTGTGCTTCCCTGAAAGAAACCAGCACAGGGAAGAGAGCATGGCTGTGGCCCCAGAGCCAGGCCATGGCCCCCGGAAGCCGCTCGCAGGTTATGGCGTACACAGAAAACCACAGCTATGCGATGCAAGGGAGAGGACTATCAACTTTAAACTTTATGCTCCATACAGCCTCTGTTGTAATGCTTCAGGTTGACTGTTTAAATTGCTAGTTGTCACAGACAACACACGAATGAGTGTGTTTCAATAAAACTTTATTTGCAAAGACAGGCAGTGACCCCATAGGTATACAGCAGGCCATATCTCGCCAGCCTCTCACTTTGAACTTTGAATTTAGCTCACGGTTTGCAGAGGTTTCAGCCCATAATCAGCTGGCTCCAAGGCAGGGTGTCTTGGCAGAGAAACAGTTCAGGGCAGGCAGAAGGCAGCAAAGCAACAAGGACCTTAGCAGTGTCTTTCTGCCCTTTATCTTACCCAGATTACCGGGATTAGGGGGTAATCTAAACCAGTCAGTGGGCTGATTTAGTACTTGCACACCTTAATCCCAGCACTCACCATGAATCAATCACCCTAGATCCAGCCAGCTCTGAAAGAGCCCCCACCTATGACTGCATGAGGCTTCGGGGAGACATCTAGACACAAGCTATGACAACCCCACCTCCTCGCTGGACGTTCATATGTCCCTGGCCAGGGATAAGGATCCTGGTATTTCCCGTCTGTGGATGAAATAGCTGCCGAGGGGTGGCCATGCTGGAGGTGGAGGGGAAGAGGGAGTTGGCAGAGGGACAGGATGAGGGTTGGGGTGGCTGATAGCAAATGACAATGAACACTATGCCCACAAAATCACCCACGGAAGGATCTCAGCTTCCGCAGGCCACGGTTCCTGGAGGGACATTCTGTGGGGTGACAGCATCTGCCAGGCTGGGAGATACAACGGTCTCAGCTCTCAGCTCTCCACCCGTGGCTTGGCTTGTCACGGATGAGAGCCCTCCAAGGCGGGGACCAGACAAGGACCCTGAGGCTCGGGGGTTCCATTGTGCCAGGTCCCAGGAGCCACGCAGGACAGAGTAAGATCCGCAGAGGGCCTGTCTCGGCAGTCCACACCGCTGCTGGTGTGCCGACCGGCCACAGGAGCCAGGTGTGTTTCGCCCCTCAGCGCACACTGCCTCCCTCCATGGCTGTCACCTCATCTCTGGCTGGTGTCAGTGTGAGACTAGTTAATCAGGCAAAGCAGCAGTGAGCTCCTCTGATCACCCCTCTGTGTGGGCAACTCCCGGTTCTCTGTTGCTCGGGACGCACTACGCGGCTTTCCTCTCCGGCTTCTCCTTTTATGTTAAATATATGATTTTATCCTCAGAAGGGGGATTATCTCAGAGCAGAATTGGCAAGGTTAAACGCTATCTGTAAAACACATTCAGCTGGGCCATGAAATGAATTACATAATATATCAGTCATCTACCTGGCTCTCAAAAACCTGCAAATGCATTTCTGTTTAAATGGGTATTTTATATTTTGCCTTCCTTTCCGTGAAGGTAAAAATGACCTTGGCGCTGAGGAAGTGAAGATATATTGAACGAGTGAAGACCAACACCGTTCCATTTCATTTAGTCTCCGCTAAAACTGCAAGGAGTGAAAGTAGAAATTGAATTTATTTTAGTATATATTGCCTCATTTGAACTTTAGTAAGGCATTAGCTTCTAAAGAAAACCCTCCCCCTTCCGTAATCTTATTGATGGTATGTTAAGGAAACTGCCTTGACTTTATTGATTCTGAGCTACAAGGTACAATGTACCCGCCAGTGCGCTCACCGGGAAACGTGCTGGCCTGGCTGTCGCCACGGGGACGGACCTGCTGACCTCAATGTCCCGCGCCTGCCGGGCCCACACACTCTTTTCCATGGCAGGTTACAGAGTGCGGGCGCTGGGAACTGGTCCACTTTGACCTCCCCTCAGAAGAGCAGCGGGAGGGAGGAGGCCACCGGCTGTCCTGAGGACAGAAGAGTAAGGCAAGACTCCCAAGCCAAGGCCAGGCTCCAGTCTCCCCCTTCCTGGGGGAAGCCCGGAAGCCGGGCCGAGCAGGGCTGCTCAGTTCCTGAGTCTTCCCTGTAGCACGGCCTGGCAGGGCAGGAACATCCAGGAAGTGACAGAGATGCACACTTCCGGGAGGAGTCAAGGTTCCCAAAGAGGGCAGGGAGATAGCTGGGTGCTGCACTGAGAGGATGCGGCGAAGTGGGGCTGGGAGAGAATTGGGGAGCTGACCGCGAGAAACCACCGTGGGAGCAGAGGACGGGTGGGCTTTGACGGTCAGGAGGGTGGGTCGCTCTGTGTCATGTGTGATGCAAAGCCTTCATCCGACCCCCACGACAGCATCTCAGAGTGGACAGGGAAGGAGAGGAACGGGCAGGAAGGGGAAGAGGGAGGAGAAAGCTGGGCTCAAAAGTGACCAGGACCTCGTCCAGACATCGCCACAGCTCGGGGAGGAGAGAGGCGAGGATCCCAAAGACAGAGACTTCCAAGGGTGCCAAGTCCAGGTTCCTTTCCTCCTCCTGCTGTGCACATCCACCTTTCTGCAGAATAGGCCCACGACAGCAGCCGCCACCCTGGAGCCGCCTGGAGGAGGACAGCTAAGGATAAGGCGTTCGGGTGCAGATTTGTGGTCCACCCTCCCTCCCTGACCTCAGCTCTCCTGGTAGGCTCCTGGTGACACGCTGCGGCTGCCCCTGCCCCTTCCCCTGCCCCTGCAGCTGGCCCAGCCCTGGGACCCACCTCCCCTCCTCCACGATCCATGCCCTGGTGAGCCACACAGAGAGCAGTCCACAGCCACAGGCACCCATGGGAGAACCCCCGTCTGTTCACCACGTGCCACCAGGTCCCGCGATGGTGAAATTCAGGCGTTGCTAAACTCGATGTCTGACAGCTACTAGAAAGGGTTTCCGTGAGACACGGCATCTGAGTCAGTGGACAGAATGAGAGGGCTGGAGCTGGACAGAACACAAGTGCAGAGGACAGGTGAAGCTGCTCTCTCCTGAGGAGCTGAGCCTTCTCCTCCTCAGACATTAGCACTCCCAGTTCCCCAGCCTTTGGGCCCCTGCACGGCACCAGTGCCCCCCAGGTGCTCAGCCTGGCAGCCTCGGGCTGGGGTATAGCATGCTGTGACTAGGACTGAGGCACAGCACCCACTCCCTGGGTTGTCCTGTTTGCAGATAGCCACCCATGGGATTTTGTGGCCTCTGTAATCACATGACCCAATTCCCCTAATGAATCTCCCATCATTCATAGATAGATAAATAGAGATAGACAGATGGATAGATGATTGGTAGACAGACAAATGATAGACAAGTGGTGGATGATAAATATAAACGATAGACATATAAATGATCAATATAACATTTATAGCTATGTCGGTCATATAAATGATAGATATATATGATGGAAAGCTACAAATGTTAGACGATAGATTGTGAGACAATAGTTGGGTAGACAGATATGATAGATAAGTGATAAGTATACATGATAGAAGACAGATGTAAAAGGTAGATGGATGATTGATATGATACAATATGATATGATGGACGGGCGGATGGATGGATGGGTGGATAGATGGGTGGATGGGTGGCTGAGTGGGTTGGTGGTTGTGTTGGTGGGTGGATGGTTATGGATGGGTGGATGGGTGGCTGAGTGGGTTGGTGAGTGGGTTGGTGGATGGGTGGCTGAGTGTGTTGGTGGGTGGTTGGTTGGATGGACAAACAGATATGTATTCCATTATTCTGTCCCTCTGGAGACCCCTGGCCAACACCACTCCCATGGCTTCAGAGATGCACATTTGGAATAGGTGATTTCCACTGAAGATGCCTTGGGCTCTTAGGCCAGGTCTGCTAGAAGAGCCACGTGTGTCTTTTGCACACATGTGAACTCCACCAGCACTTCTCATGGTCACATTTTTATTGTCACTTCTTCCCCGGAGCTGACACGTCACCCCACGGCCTGCTGACCTCATAGACCCTGTTGAAGTGTCCTCCTTCAAGATGGGGACACTAAAGGAATCACACACTGGGCTGCACGTCCCCCGCCAGCAAAGGAGTACTCAGGACTGAGTGTGGGGTCGGCAAGGCACGCTCTCCTTTCCCTGCAGACCCTGCCCCCTTTCCAAGAGGAAGGTGAGTTGGCCACTCGCCAGCACAGTCCTTGCAGTCCAGCCCATGTCAGGGGTCCAAAGCAGTCCAGACCATGGGGTCACCAGCTGCTGCGGAACAGGCCTGTCCACCTCTAGGGATCCCAAGTCTTGGGTATCATCCCAGCAGGGGGGCTGTCCCACCCTTCCCAAGCTCGGGGATGGGGCGTCCTCTCCGGGCGAGACGGGCCTGACTAAAATTGAACTGCTGTTCCTCCTCCTCTCAGCCTCACCACGACCTCACTGGGCACTGGGCCCTGCACTAGGTCTGTCTTCTCCGTCTCCACAGAAAGGGGAGGCTGCAAGCGTGGGTGGGAGCAGGCACAGGCGCGGGGAGAGAAGGCTCGGTGTCCCACAGGGGCGTGTGGAATGACCTTGAGCTCGGGTGACAGGACACCGAGGTGTCACAGACCAGCGCCCACGCCACGGGGCAGCTGAGGAGGACAGCAGGACAGGAGATGCGTGCGGGCCCCAGGAGGGCTCGAGCCCTTTCTAAGAGCTTTTGCTCAGCTCCAGGCAGTTGCCACCAAGCAGATACCCGTGTCCTTTGTGACTAGATCTAAATCTCTCCCCAAGAAAAGCCAGAAATGTAGATTTTTATGAAAAAAAAAATGCCCATTATAAAACATTGGAGACCAGTTCTAAAACTTTCAAATTCTACACCACTCAGTAAAAAATGCAGCTGAAGGCAGGCCCCCGTCCCCACACGGGGCAGAGCAGGGTTCTCAGGCTTACTGACAACACAGGTTTGTGGGTAGCGTTTCTAACAGGCTCTGGGAGATGCGATGTGTGTGCTTGGGCCATGCTGGAGGTGGCCGCTCTGGTGACCACCAGGCTCTCCAGCCTTGCTCTTGTCCCAGGGTGCACAGCAGCCAGCGGCCAGGGTCCGGCACTGTCCTCCAGGCCTGCAGTGAATGGAACTCTGTGTGCGAACTTGCTCCTTGTACTCAAAACAACTTCGGGCTCTCATTCTCCGCTGCTTTCTCCTGATTATACCTCCCGGGCAAGGTCAGGACCCCCAAGAACCACACTTGTCACTTTGGCCCCAAACCAGAAGCAGCTGTCCTCAAGAATCAGGTGCCCCTTGGACCTGCGACACTCACGGCACTGGATCGTGTTAATATTAGACAAAATCCAATATAAATTCTCCCGGTGGCAGGGGCGCTGCGAGGTTGCTCTAACTGCCTAAAGCTTAAAACACATTTTTAACCTCTTCTTCCTTCAGAGCTGGTTTCAACTAGGCCAGGGGACTCTTGTAAGCTGAGGGGTTCTCATTAGGACCAGAGAGCAAATTCCGGGGAACCGAGGAGCGGTGAAAAAGGCCACTCCTCCCGCTCAGACAGGATGGGGCCTAGACAGGACCTCTGCTGCTTGCTGCTGTTGCCTTTTTATAATTTATTTTCCAGCTGACACTTAAAGACTCTATGGGAAGAGTATGCTGTGGTGTTGGGCTACATGCAACATCGAATAATGTTCAAATCAGGGCAAGCGTATCTATCTCCTCATTCACCATTTCTCTGGAAACATTCAAAATCCTTTCCTCTAGCTCTTTAAAATATACAGCAGCCCATGGTTGCCAACAGTCACCTTCCTGAGCTCAATTCTGTCTAATTATAGCTCAGTGGCCGGGCCTCCCCGCCGGAATCTTCCAGAGACCTGCGCTGGGACTCGAGTCTTCTCTGACCCCAGGCTGGGGCCTCGGGATGTGGCCTGGCTGGAGAGCTGGGGCTCTCCTGGGGAAGAGCAGGGAGTGCAGGGCCTGCTGGAGACCAGCTGTCTAAGGCAGCCCACGAGCTCTATATGAGAATGTGGCTCTAAGCAGCCTCTGCCGGGCCCCTCAGGAGGACAGGTCCAAGAACCGATCCCCAGGTCCCGACCTGCTCCCCCTCATCCTGGGCTGGTGTCCTGTCCTTGAAATCACCCACATTTCCTCACTAAGGCAGGAGCCCAGCAGGAGGCTTGTGACAACCACCCACGTCGCTGCTGGGCCTCGGGGCCAGGCCACCAGCCAGGGCAGGAGGAAGTCTCAGGGCAGGTGAGTACCAGCCATGGCAATAAGGTGGCCCCAGGCTGGGCTCCAAGTCTGGGGTCCCCAGGAGGAGCCCCAGAGGGGATGGCTGCTGGCACAGAGGGGTGAAGTCTATGGGACAGGCTCGAGGTGGGATCTGGACTGGGAAAGGGGTTCCCTTCCCATAGATGCACCTCCCCTCCCTGCTCAGGCTCAGACTCGGGGGCTCCAGGGCCCAGGGTGCTCTCTCCGGTCATGTGGCCTGCAGCCTGCCTCCTGCCATGACAGCCACCCTGAGTCACCCCACTGCAAGATAAGGCCACAGCCTCTGTCTGAAATCAAGAAGCCCTGGACCAGTGAGGGCCCTGCAGGGACCCGAGTGCCTCTGCTGTAGGCTCTGGGGCCGCTGGGCGTCAGGCTGGAGGGCGGCAACCGCACACGTGACACCAGAAGAGGGCGTCTGCGGGTGATCTCCTCGGCCTTGTTCCATCCCCTCAGGTACTCTGGTTTGCTTTCAGGATGGCAGAATCCATGGTTCCCTCTTATAGTATGTGCCCAGGAAGGCCTGGAGTGGAGGGAGGAAGCTCAGTGTGGAAAAACCTAGTGAAAGTGAGTCAGCTTCCAGTGCTCAGCAGGGAGGGCTCGCCCCTGAGTCTCAGTTTCTCCATCTGTGAAATGAGTAACAGCGTCCATCTCACACATCCTGGTGAGAGCTGGCAGGGCACCCGGGGCCAGCAGAGGTCCCTAGAGGCAGAGCCAGAGACAAGGGCTCAGGGCAAGTGGCTTACTGGGGAACTCAGAAAACAGGGAGAAGAGTGGAACCACGAAGCAAGAAACCATCCCTGCTGGAGCCGGCCTTGCCTTAGTGTGTGGGCAGCCCCTGCCCTCCGGACTCCAGTGCCAAGGGAGCAGGCGGTCCAGGCCCCAAGCTGGCCCTGGCTCCCGTTTCTTCTGGCCCAGACAGGTTTTCGCTTTATTTTAATTACTTGAAGACATTTGAAAATCAGGAGAATTTAGGGGGAAAACTCCAGCTTTCTGACTTCTCTAAAAAAATGTGTCAACCAGCCGCATGTCCACCTGGCACCCCTGAGCTGCAGCCCATGCCCACTTGCTACCAGCACCACGCTTGTTGGCCTCTAGGACCCCCTGACTGTGTCGCGGCTTCCTCTTCAGCTTCGGGAGGCCCTCGAGACCCAGGTGAGTGGTTATGTCTCCATCTTGCGCATGCTTGAACCATGCCAAGACCAGCACCACCGGCAGACATGAACGGCACTCAGTGATAGACGCCGCTGGATGCCCCTTTCTGGGCCCTTTCTGTGCATGTGCAGACGCTGGGGCCAGTCTGCTCCAGATGGGAGTGCCAGGGTCAGCCGGGCTCCTGAGACCCAGCCCACACCCACCAGCACCCAGATCCTTGAGCTGCAACCAGACCCCACACAGGCCCGTGGGCCCACTCGACCTGTGGGCCTTCTCATTGTCTAACTGGGGCATCACCTCGCCCTCCCCCCAGGCCCCAGGCCCCTTCTCCAGCCGTACCAGCTCAGGCCGTCTCCTCTCAGCAGTGCCTTCCTGCTCTGCCTGCGCGGGAGCCTTGCTGAGTCTGCACTGCGCTGTGGGATGTGAGAACAGGAAACGTCTCCATCCCGCTCCTGGGGCTCCGTCGCCCACCCACAGAGATGCCTCTCCTCCACGCTCCTGACAGAGCGGCGATGTCGCCTCAGCTCACACCGTGGAGAGGAGATTTATTACCTTACAGGGCATTCTGTTCTACATTTCAGAGCTCTGAGTTTTAGCAAATCTTTCTTTAAACCTACCTGAAATCTCCTACAGTTTTATATCATTCACCCGTCAGCAGACGCGTTGAGTGCAGATTCGGTTACCACATAACATGAGACGTGGCAGCAAACCACTCAAGCTGATCTACCGGTGAAAGGTATCGCCGGGAAAAGGGTTTCAAATGAGGCTTATTCCAAAGCTCAAAAATGCGACAACAGACCGAGTCCACCTGACCTTGAGCTCTGCAGCAGCTCCTGGGTCAACCCTTGTGATAGCAAAAGGGTTGCTGCAGTTCCAGGCTTCTCATTCATCCTCGGTGAAAGCACAGCAGGTCTTTTGTTAGCTCCTCCCACAAGTCCTAAGCTTACTCTTGTTGGCCCAAAAGTGAACCAATCACTGCAGCCAGAGGAAGGGGATAAGGGGCTGGGGGTGGGGTGTCTCCTATCTACACCTAAGGACCTGAGGTGAGGAAGGGGTACGTTCTTAAAGGAAGATGAGGATGCTCTTGGCTGGAGTGGTGGGGAGCTGGACATTGAAAGGCCCCACAGATGTGTCCTCGTGAGTCTTTTCTTTTTGACAGTTGCCATGTTGGTTGCAGAAGACAGCACACTGAATGAAACTCAATCCCTGCCCGAGAAAGCCGCTGGCTTGGGGGCAGTCGTTACTGCTCAGAGTTCTCATCATCCCAAGACGCCTCTTTGACGTCTTTTCAAAATCTTTGCCACATTAAATGTCCCTGGTTCACCTACTCATAAGCCTTCCAACTAGATACATGAAACTCAGCCTATGCTGGTCTCTTCCTGCAGATAACAAGAGCAGAGCACACAGAATGGACCCGAGTCCACACACAGTGGATCTGCCTGATGCCCAGGTCCCCAGAAATGGGTCTGGGACTAGGACAGCAGGCAAAGAGCGTATCTGGGAGGTGATCCCAGAAGATACCAGGGTAGGTGGGGGAGGAAGAGGGTCGGTGGTTGATGAGCAGGTTGTCACTGTGGGCACAGAGTCTGCAGACAGTCTTCTGTGGGTGGGAAGAGAATTACTAGAAGTCATTTCCACACTGTGACACCCAGTGTGATTTAGCTAAGCCCAGTGTGGCAGTGAGCCATGCCCTCCTCACCTAGTGAGGGAGTGACTGGGTCTTCTCCTCGCTGGCCAAATCCCAGGTGTCTGTGGCTGCTCCAGCTGTACCCAGCCTGAACTGCGACATGACCGCAGAGCTTCGGAAGGTTAACAGGTAGTCCTTTTAAGGGGCTGTGGCTAAAATGCCTTGCCTTCACAAATTTTACAGAAATGGTTATCCAAAGGCCTGGAAGGGGCCATTGTAAAGAAGGGGACCTCAAGCTTGTTTCTTCAGCCTCACATGGGCCAGCCCTGCTTTAAGCTGCAGGTGATAGAAAATCTGGCTCCAACTAGCTCCTAAACAAGAAATCCTACTGCACAGATAAGGGGAATCAGAAGTGGGTGGGCCAAGGAGTCCAACAGCAGTTCCTAAGGCAGAACCCAGGCTGTTCCAGCCTTCACTCCTGCCGCCATGATTTGAATGTGTCCCTTAAAATTTCATGTGCTACAAACTTTTCCCCCAAATTCACGGTGCTATTTGGAGGTGAGGGCTTTGGGGAGAAATCAGGGTGAGATGAGGTCTTATTGGTGGGGCTTCATGATGGGATTGGTGGCTCTGTAAGAAGACAAAGACTAACATTTGCATGCTCAGGCTTCCTAGTGATGGGACGGCCTCCGCCATGTTAGGGCACAGCAGGAAGGCCCTCACCAAGGGCAGCACCATGCTCTGCACTTCCTGTTGTGAGTATTCTGCTATCACAGCACAGAGCAGACCAGACACTGCCTCTCACAATCTCATCCCATGCCTGGGTTCCTTCTGTTCTTGAGACAGTGGTTGAGGGCCGCCTGGCTGTCTGCTTCTTCCAGGAACCTTCATGGAAACTCAAACCAGCCTACTCCGGAGCCCCATTGGCCCAGTGTGGGTCACCCAACCAAGCCACAGGGATGACTTGCAGACCAGTGGAGTTCACACCCAGAGGTGAGACAAATGCAGCAAATCTGATGGCCTTAACTCCAGGGCACAGTGGGGCCAGGCTGTCACAATCTCACAGAGGGCAGAGGTCACCTGTCAGTGCCTCCTGGGAGCACAGCTTTGTTTTCCACATCGTTCCTGTGGAAAGATGTATTCCATGCCCTGGCCACTCACTCCTCTTTCATTTACCCGGGGAGCTCTTGGGGTCAGGCTACATGCTGTGAAATGGGAGATCAGAGGAGCCTGAGACCCTGTCCTTGCCTTCCAGAGCCCAGCACCCCTGAAGCCAAGAATAGGAGATCCCCAAGAACAGGAAAGAGCTCTGGAGCACTCCATGGCTGAGTTTGTCCCTGCCCCCGGGGGGAGGGTGTGGAGACAGAGGAGAGAGAGGACAATGCTGAAAGAAGGAACAGGGTGTTCACGCCCGTGGCCGGAGAGCTGGAGGGCTGGGGACCACACTGGGAGAGGATTCAGGGGCCAGGGACACATAGTACAGGTCCAGCCAGGCCTGGGCACAGGCTTCCTACCTCGGTGGTGACTGGCCAGTGACAAGGGCCGAGTGGGGGAGCACGGCAGTTGCACCAGGCTTTAAAGCTACAGAGCAGGGGCGATGGGAGGGTGCCAGGCAGCTGTCAACAGACACCATTCCCAGTTCTGTGCTGCTGGCAGAGGTGGCCTCACCTCCCACACACAGCTGTGCCAGCACCTCCTGAGGGATCCCTGCAAATCATCAAAAACAGCCTCTCCCAATTTTAGACTGCTGTCAGCATCGCACAGTAGCTGCTCTGTGTGTTCACGTGAAGAGGCGTGTGTGTGTGTGGCTGTGCGTGTGTGTTACGGCCCCATCCCCCAAGGAGTTTGAGGCTGAGACTCTGCCAAGGAGACCTGGAGTCCTGGACAGAAGACACAAGCTACCACGTCCCCAGGGAAGCCTGATCCCGTGAAAGCTCTGACAGGCCAGAATGAGCAACATGGAGAAGGCACCGGCCCTGCGCGTAGTCACTCGGTGACCTTGGGACAGTACTTCTACTCTCAGGTCCCTTTTTCCCGCACGGAAGATGAGGACGAGTCTTCCCGGTTCTGCAGACTTCCTGGGCAGCTAACGGGAGGGGAGAGGGCAGACTACCGGAACCTGCCAAGTAAGTTTCACTCAGGGTCACCCGGATGGAACCCTGCTGCAAGCACACTAGTACCAGCAGTGTTTTTCTCAGCCAGGCAACTTCATTACCCCTCTCAATTCTAATACGCAGGTGAAGAGAGGGAGCCAGGGGTCAAACAGTGTCCCCAAGGTCACAGGCCGGGGGAGGCAGGGCTGTCTGGCTCCAGGGCTGCACTGCCTGTGGCTGCTCTGATCACTGGGTAGTCTCATGATTGACACTTGAGACAAGATTCACAGGGGGCTGTCCTGCACTGTACCACAGTCCAGGAAAGACAAGAGGTTCCTGTCCACGGAGAAAATCCACGCCTAACCGGATCTGACTTTGGAAGAATAACAGGAGCTTGCAAACACATTCTTATCTTCCAGTGCTTGAGGAGAGAGAACAGAAGACACAGGCAAAGCCCACCTGGTGTTCAGGAAAAAGGCACGAGATGGTGAGGCCATGGTCAAGTTTACAAGGGGCCTCTGTGACAGACCCAGGCCAGCCGAGGGTAAACAGGCGGCAGGGCTTCGCCGAGCACTTCCTGTGTGCCTGGACGGACCACCTCTCAGACCCTTCAGTGTTCAATTCTGTGGCACTGCGCACAATCCCATCATTGTCCCCATGACCACCACCCAGCTCTGGAACTCTGTACCCAACATACACGCATTCCACGGAGGTGAGGCGGTAGTGTAGGAAACTCACCAGCTCCTTTTAAGCAGATGCCAATCCTTACAATTCGCTCCTCACACAAGGGGTAATGGGCACAGAGCAAACTACAGAATAATCCTCTCTGTGCCCGGTAGAAGCTAGAGCCCAGCAGGAAAAACGGAAAAGGCTGAGGTGACTTCTGGGCTACATTCTTCCTGGGGCTGGGTGTGTTTGTGAAAGGATACAGCCCCCTCGCTAGAGTGGTACACAACATTCCTGCGGCCACGTTTCCGCCGGGGAAACTCCAGGCGCGGTATACCAGTGCACTGGAACAATGGGGACAGACGGGAGCTGAGCTGTCGGAGCCAAGAGCCGCTCAAGGAGCGCAGAAGTCACAGAGGGGTCTGGGGGTGAGGGCACCCAGGAGATCACACCGACCCGGCGTTCTGCACACCCTGCCTCACTCTCCCCAGAGTGCGGACGGGTGCCCTGTGAGGGCGAAGCATTTGCTAGAAGCTTCTTGAGATCCTTCCGCTCTCTCTGACCAAAAGCATTATGAAGTCAGAAGCATTGTAAAGTCAGAAACACACCTGACCCTGCTCCGTCGGTCCCTCATCAGGGTACCCTGAGGAGGACGCCGTTGCGTGGCTGCCCCACCAGTTGAAGCAAGCACCTAGCGTGGGATTTTCCCTCCCAGGCGTTACCGACGTTTCCAGCTGGGTAGTGGGGCTTTCACAAGGGCTGGCCCATGGCAGGACCTCTGTCATCATCCTGGCCCTCCGGGTGCAGGCAGCACGGGTCCCCACCCCACCAAGCTGAGGCTGTGGCAACCAAAACTGCTTCCTGTCATTGCCAAGTGTCTGCTGGGGGTGACTGCAGATTTACCAAAGCAAAAGAGAAGACTAGTTACAGTCGGACTTCAGATAATCAGGAACCCCGTTGCTGTAACTGTAAAACGTACCCCTTTGTAATATTTGGGACATTATTCTAGAATTACTCGTCATTTATCCGAATTTCAAACTTAACCTAGTACCTGATGTTTTATCCATCAGCCCTACCAGGGGTAAAATCACCTCCATCTGAGAGCACTGACCCAGGGAGACGCGTCACAGCTTGCCCAGGGCTTTCCTGGCTTTAGCACGAGAAGGCTCACAACCTGGAGAACTCTGGTCACCCCACACTGGCATGGTTGGCGACCTTGAAACCCAGCTCCATCCTGCTGGTGTCCACAACAGCGCGTGGGAAACGCTGGGGCTCTCAGAGGGTCGGGGTGCCCCAGGGAATGGTTGACAGGTAGGGCTTCCTGTGGGAACTACCAAGCCCTGCGTTTGCTGAATTGTAGGCTAGCAATCACAGCCTCAGCCAGAGCAGCTCGAGTCTGCCTTCAAAGGGGCCTAGCGATTTTGCCATCCATACCCCAGATAGCTCATCTCGAGCAGCCCAGGGCCCAGAGCTAATGGGCTTCCCACCAGCTGGGGAGACCTCCACGGCACTTCGGTTCCCTGTAAATCCTCACGGTGGGTCTTTCTGAGGTTGTCATTGCCTTAATTCAGAGCTGTATTGACTGGCCTCCCCTGGCATCCAGGGCTGATCTCCTTGCGTCCAAGGCTGTTGCTAGGCAACATAATCCTTTCCCCTGTCACTTCCTGTTGGGCAGGATGGCACGACGAGGCAAGGGTGAGGAGCAGGGTGCAGCAGAGGACCCCCAAGGCCCTTGTCCCCTGCTCTCGCTGGCATTACTGAGTCTAGCATGGATCTTGTACCTCACACTACCTTTTGTTTTTTCACAGGCTCCTGGACTGTAGGCCACGCTGCACAGAAAGAAAACTCATCTTTAGTTTCTTTAGCCACCTTACAACCATGTTAGTTGTTGTATATGGGGGTGAAAATACATTTGTTTGGAGGCAGGCCATTTCCTGAGAATTGAGCTGACCACACTCACTC